GGAGGAGGAGGGGGAGGAGGACGGGGAGAAAGAGGGGGAGGAGGAGGAGGAGGAGGAGGAGGAGGAGGAGAAGAGGAGGAGGACGAGGAGGAGGAGGAGAAGGAGGAGGCGGAGGAGGAGGAGGCGCAGAGGAGGAGCCCGGAGGTGGATGCGGGGGAGCGGCGGCGCCGCCCTCTGCGTCGAGGAGGGCGCCGCCGAAGAGCGACTCGTCGTCCGCGTGCGCCACCACCTCGGTCTGCCCAGCCCGGGGCCCAACTTTCGGTCGGGCATGCCCCCCCCCCCCCTACAGGCGGATATTGGAGAACAAACAAAAAAGCCAAAACATCATCCAAAAATGCTCAAGCATGTTCCAAACATCGTCCCGATCTCGCCCCAGCGCGGGCCACTTTTCTGGATCCGAGTCCAGCTTCATTGTGGCTCCACCCTCCTTTGCCTTCTTCCGCCTTCCTCTGGTCCTCCTGTTCCTCCCGCTCCTTCCACTCCAGTTCCTGTTGCTGCTGTTCGCCTCGCCCCAGCGAAGGCCACTTTGCTGAGTCCGAATATTCCTTCATCGTTGTCGCCTCTCGCATGTCCCCTCCTCCGCCTGCCCCTGGTCCTCCTTTTCTTCCAGATCCTTCCGCTTTAGTTCCTGCTGCTGCTGCTGCTGCTGTTCGTCATCATCCTTTTCCAACCGCTCCTCCTCCTGCTCACCCGCCACCTCCTCCTCCTCCGCCTTCTCCTCCTCCTCTTCCTCCTCTCGGCGCCGCCGCGCTTGAATCGCGACAGGGGCCGCAGTCGCCGCCTTCGCCGTCGTTTCGTCGGCTTGTCCTCGGCGGTCGTCGCTTTCGTCGGCGTCGTCGTAGTCCGCCTCCTGATCCACCTCCTCCTTCGTTTTTTGGCGCTGGGCAGACGTAGGGCGGGTCCTGCTGCGTATCGTGATGATGCAAATGTGATCTCCGACTTGGGCGAAACAACAGACAAAATGAGGCCGCGGACAGGTGCAAGAACAGCACGTCAAATGATGAAAACAGATAATCAGTAGTGGATTCAAGGGCGAGAGTAACCCAGTCCGCGGGGGCAGGAGAGGTGAGATACCAGGCAACAAACAAGTCGGTGTGTTACGAGGGCTGGCCCAGGCGGTGATGGCTGGCCCAGCTGATACCTGTCAGAAGAGCGCGTATAGTTATGGAGATAGCGTGAAAGTAGTGATGCTGAACGGTAAGGGGGCTGTAGCGAGCGCCGTGCGCAGTATACTGCTGTGTGCCGAGCCTAAAAAGGCTGCGGGGCCACGCCCTGGAGTCCAAGGTGAGCCTGAAAGACTGCTGGAGACCTCAGCCCTACACTTAGGTCGGGCATGTCCCTCTACAAGGGTTTTTTGGACGAAGCATGAAAAATACACCAAAAGTACGCAAAACAAAAAAAACTAGTCAAAACATCGTCACCAGACTATTGTTGACTATTTCTGAATATTCCCCCTGTAGAGAAACAGGCCCGACTGAACCCTACACAGACCTCCATATCAACCCATGATGTGCCTACCCCAACGTCCAAAAAGTCCAGCAGCGGGCGCATATGACTAGATGCGTTGGCGTTGAGCTCGGTTGGCGGAACACATTCTGAAGAAGGACCCACCCTCCGTCCGTGAGTCCGTGAACCAGCTCCTCCTCGTCGCCGTTCCCCCCCTCTCCCGGGAACAATGAAGAAAAGCACGACTATATTTAAGTCGGGCCTGTCCCCCTACAGGGGGGTTTTGGAGGACAAATTTATAAAATAGTCAAGAAATACTCCCAGATGGCCAAACATACTCAAACAAAAATCCCCGGACGATTTTTGGACTATTCTTGAATATTCCTCCTGTAGAGGGACATGCCCGACTTAAGACTATATGAATATAAACTGCTGGAGGTCTGCGAGGATTTCTTGGATCTGCGCTGGTGCCCCTCCCTGGCGCGCGGGAGCGCGCTCCAGGGGCGGCGCTGGAGGCCCCACAAGGGGGCCTCCGGCGCAGATCCAGCAAGTCTGCGCGGAGCTCCGAAACTTTTTGTGCATGCTGTTAAACAGCATGCGCAGTATGTTGTCCCACATCCCAGATATAATCTCGAGCACCCGGAAAAGTGTCGAAAGAGTGTCGAAACAGTGTCGGGCGAGTGTTTCCCAGGGCCCGACAAGTGAAAACCTTCGAGTTTCGGTATTTCTTATTGGTGCTTGAAATTCTTCCTGGTGCTCAAGGTAAAGTAGGTTGAAGCATCATAACATGAGCAAAAAAAGCGCGCTGAATCGCGGCCGGGGTCAACAAATCCGCCGGGATCGCGCGCTGGATTGGGGCCCGGGCGTTACTGCCACGGGGGGGGGGGGGGACATGCGTTATCCCTTGGGTGGATGAAAACATGCATTCTTCTTCGAAATAAAGGAGGAGGCGTGCAGGAGATCGCGCGGGCGACCCGGCCAGTCCCCGCTGAGCCCGAGAAGCTGCGGGGTCGCGGACCGTTCGGGAGGATGTGCTGCCATTGGACCGACGCCACTTATCATCAAGTAGACTGCCCCGCCGACACACGTCGAACGACGCACTTTTACCCCCAAGCGCTAGACGCGCTCATGCGAGTCACCCCTAGTGCGTCGAAGAAATGTTATGCCGCGACGGTGAGGTCCCCACCTCGTGCAAAGTTCTGTCGACTGTTGCGGTTGAATTGGGCTTGGTAAGGGGGAATTGCCCACGGTCTACTCTAAACATTCGTCAGTTCTGAGAGCACTAGGGAAAGCCCAGGAACCCCTCAAATCGAGCAATTGAAGGCCTTGATCTGGATCGACTGGCGACTCTCCTCAGAAAAACACAAAGCAACAATCGGGTCAACTGCTGCATGCAGAGCGCCTTCGAGCCCATCACGAGCCAAAATCAGGACGACCAGGCGAGCCGGGTCACCATTATCCGACGTGTCAGCCCGACGCCTCGCGTCCACCGGCGCAATTGTTTTGCTTACTCCTCCGACACCGCCATTCCACCTCCTCCTCCTCCGCCTCCTCCTCCTCCTCCTCGTCGTTCGCATCCTCCACCTTCTGCGCCCTCCCTGCCTTGTTCTCAGTCCGCCTTTCTCCCTTCTAATCTCGCCCATTGTACAGCAGAGGTCAGTCCACCAGAAATCTTCCACAAGAAACCCAACCCTGAGACCCCACGATGTCCGTTCATTTTTGGTGTGGGATCGCCACACTCTCCGCAGCAAAATACAATTGAAACCCAAGAAACATAGGGCACCCTGGAGGCAAGCAGGGAGTTTCTTGGCATGGGTCTCCACTCTACCCCTCGCCCCCTCCCCTCCCCGTCCTCTCCCTCCTCCTCCACCGCCTCCACCCTCCTGCCGCTCGTCCTGCTCACTGCCCCCCCTGGGCTCGGAGATCGGCGGTGGACAAACCTCCCTTGAGTAAACCCCCCCTCAGTGAACACGGCCTGGGACCGAAACCGACGGACCTGGACCCGCAAAAATGACGGCCGCGACGCCCCCTCGCGAACTGAAAACGGCCAACTCGCTAATCGACGCGTCGGGATTGGAGGTCTGTCAACCCCTCCAAGGAGAGCCGGTAAGGTCCTGTGCTGTGCTGGCCGCCCGAGGCCCTCTGCTCCGGGGCACTCCCTCCTCGAGGCCCCCCGGGGGCACCGCTGGCCACGCCGCCGCGCCGCCGCGGGCGCAGCAGTTGGAGGAAGAGGCCGGGACCCTGTGAGCGTTTCTATATTCGGCGTTGTTCGGCATTGGGCGAACTTGCCATCGCTCGGACGTCCATTCCCTGTGCATGTTTCAGTTTCGGGCCTGTTTTTGTTTGCTCGTTCGCTCGATGATCCAGGATGCTCCTCCAGGGTCCTCGCCGAGGAAAAAATGCACACGTCCGAGCGATGCCCGGCGAAAGGGGAGGGGATGGGGGGGGTCTGGCTCCGGACCTCTGCTTAGTGCGACTGTTTGCAGCAATGCGTCCCATGAGGGGAGACTCCGTCTGCTCGAAACAGGCGCCCAAAAAACAGCCAAGATCTACTCCATGGAGAGGGGGGAGGGGGGGGGGCGAGGGCCCGCGCCGATCGGCAAAACAATGAATAAAAAACGATCACCTTCTCGCCCGTCTCTCCACGCTGTCTGGTTTGCTGGTTTGCTTCCCCCTGGAACCCACGGGCATTGTTGGGGGCTGCTCCTGTCTGCATCGGCGCAGCCGTGTCTTGTGTCCTTGTATGTCAGGTGTTTTTCTTTCTGTATATCCGTGCGCGCGTGCTCTTCCTCGGAGGCAGTGGAGGAATCTCACCAGGCTGTCACTGCTTCATCGGTCTATAGAGATTGCTCGTCTGGCTGCGACGTGCCTCGGGTGCGTCCCCAGGCCGCACTTGTTGCGAGATGGGCTGTTCGAACGCCCGAGCTCCTTTCTCGTCTTATCTCCAGGCTGGGGCCCCCAGCCCAGACCAGGCCCCCCCCCCCCACACCGAGCACATTTCCTCCTGGTCTCTGTTCTCCAGTACTCCTCTCCCCAGGGACCAATCGACATGAAGGTTGTTCAAGCGCTCTGCGCTTCTGTGGATCCGTGTCACCGTCAGCCTCGCCATCTTTCTGCTCTCCCCATGGGTGCATGCAATTTGCTGGGTACACTCAGGCTCATTTAGTGCTGCCACAGATGCCAAAACACCCCTGCTGACCACCACACAACATGTCTCCCCTTCGCAGTCCAACCTCCTGCACATCCACCCAACTGCCACACCCTTCTGTCTGCCGTCCTCCTCCTCCACTTCGCGTGTCCTCCTCCTCCTCTTCCTCCTCCTCTTCCTCCGGGTCGGTGAATCGAATCGGATCGGCGCGAACATCGACTCAGCAAGAATCGGCAAAAGCAGCCTGCACCATCGAATCGGAAAACCCAAACCAGATCGAATCGAAATCTGAATCGCGTGAAGCTGGATCGAAGAGGAGTAGACGCTAGACAGGGACACCGAGGTCAATGGGGAGGCTCTCCCCTGACTTCGTGCCCTTCCTCCCCAGCGTCCCTGTTAGCTAACGTTTTCGGTTCGTTCGGGCAAGAGTCTTTGCAGCTGTTGCGCCGTTGCGCGTGATCGTGCGCCTCGCGCCTGTAATGCCAACCGGCAATCTGTACGAAAGGAAACAACGAGACGCTCTGTGGCGTCGAAGCCTGGGCCCAACAGCTTGAAAAATGAGGGCGCCGACTCAGAGAGCTACCCTGGTCGCTGACAGAGCCGTGAGCACAGCCGCGACAGGGGAGGGAGATGAGGAGGGCCCCCTTAAAACATGCTGCAGCCCCTCAGAACACCCGAAAGCCGTCTGGGGCGTAAGACAAACTAGAGGCCACATGCCCCTCTTGAGAAGAAGCATAAAATAGATGTGTGCCATCGTGGACCCCAACAAGTGAGCAATTGCACTGGGGAGGCAAAACCTATGCAGCGTAAGCTATGAGGTGCAAGTATTGCGATGCCATCTATATGGCGCAAGCGGCGCTGTGCAAACTATGTGGTGGAAACGACGTTGTGCAACAGATACGGTGGAAGCTATAGTGCGTGCGTAGGTAGCAAACGTTATGCGGTGCAAGCTATGCTGTGCACACGATGATGTGCGAATTCTAGCTTATGTGAGGTACGTTGTGTACGCCATCATGTGTTGCGGGCTATGGTATGTAAGCTATGTGTTACGAGCTACGCGGTGCGAGCTAGGACTGGAACGCTAAACGTTGCAGGCTGCGTGGCGCAAGCCATGGCGTGCAAGCTGTGCGGTGTGGCATACGTGCTGCGAGCTATGCGGTGCAAGCTGTACGGTGCAAGCTGTGCTGTGCAAGCTGTGTGGCGTAACTGCACGGGGGCACCCTCGAAGCGGCACGGGCGGCAACGCGGCGAAACATCGGGAAACCCGTCCAGCGAACGGGGCGCCCACGATGCGCCCACCAGCCGGCGCTGGCGCCAACGGGGCTGAGCCTCGGGCAACACCACGCAGCGCACGGGCGCAAACAGGGCGGAGCCTCTCAGGGGATTCGCAAGGGTCCGGCAATCTGTGTCCGACAAGAAAAAACAACCTCTCGGGGCCGACGGCAGGGCCCGAAGGAGCAAACGCCAGGCGTGGGGAGACGGGGGCGACAACCCACCAGGTCTCCGCCATCCTTCTGCCGCCCCCCGCCGACGCGCCATCGCTCGGACGTCCATTCCCTGTGCATATTTCGGTGTCGTGCGCCTTTCTGTTTGCCCGATGCTCCAGGATGCTCCTCCAGGGCCCTCGCCTAGGAAAAACAAAAAAATGCACACGTCCGAGCGATGCCAGGCCGAGGCAGAGGTGCCCACCCCGCCGAGCCTCGAAGGCAGGGACCCTGCTGGAGAGCGCGCCGCACGTGCGCCGGTCCTGGGCCCCGGGTCGGCCTGGCCAGCACCGCCGTGGAGCTGCAGAGGGCGGCGCCCGGTGCTCACGCCGCGCCCGGGAAGGCGGCGGCGAAGACGTCCGAGTAGTCCGACGCGTAGGTGACCTCGAGGCCCTCGCGCAGGTACTCCGGGAGCTCGTCGAAGTCCCGCTTGTTCGCCTGCGAACGCGAGGGGTCGAGGAGGGGATCGGAGGGCGGAGGAGAGACACGGGGGGGGTGAAAGGGCAGGAGGGATCATGCTGAGGGTACTGCTGGGGGAACGTCATGTCCCTCTCCACTTTCCCCTGCGCGGCGACGGCAGGGGCGAGGACGGAGGAACGGGAGGGACGTGGGAGGACCAGTGCGGGCGTTTGAATTACCGCTGCCCGTTGTTGGTCCTTTTGCGCTGAATCGG